AGAATTGGAAGTGGACCGGCTGCATCAGACTCTAGGGAGAAGGCCTCACAGAGGGAAGGCCCAGTCAGCATCATCCCCTTGGTGCATCGGGTGTGGAGGCCGCCATCGCCACGCAGACTGCCGTTTTTGCTCTGCCATTTGCAGGGCCTGTGAGAGGCAAGGTCACATTGCCTCCATCTGTTTGGGTCGCCAGAAGGAATGTTACCCAGAAGAATTGCCTCAGAAAGGTACCAGGGTCCCCAGCCAGAACAGGGTGGGCTTCTGCGCGTCACGTAGGAGCGTTTTTAGAACGGAGGTCCACAGGCCACTTAGGAAGAAGCTTCACATCGACATGAAGTTGCAAGGGGTCCCCTTGTCGATGGAGCTGGACACTGGGTCTGCTCTATCGATCATCTCCTTAGACACCTTTAACAAGGTCTGCAACAGAAGCAGCCTACGGGTAAAACTCAGGCCGTCAAACCTCATCCTCACAGATTTCCAAAATTCCAGAGTCAACGTGAGGGGGGAGGCCACACTCAAGATGCAGCATAGGAATTTTGAGGGACTGCTGGATGTAGTTGTGGTTGGGGGAGACTGTACAAGTCTCATTGGACTTGACTGGTTTGAGGCCCTGGGAATTCAGGTTACTGGAATACACAGCGTGCAAATAACAGGCCTAGCTGGGGTCTGCAAGGAGTTTGCAGATGTGTTTAGTCCAGAATTTGGCTCCTACAAAGGCCCTCCTATTTCTCTGAGGCTAGACCCAGCCACAGCCCTGATTAGAATCAAGCCACGCAGGGTGCCCTTTGCTTTAAAGGGTAAAATAGATGCAGAGCTGGATAAACTGATTCAGCAGGGTATCTTAGAGTCTGTAGACAGTAGTCCATGGGAAACACCCATAGTTACGCCACTGAAGGCCAATGGTGAAGTCCAAATTTGTCCGGACTACAAGTACACGCTTAACAAAGCGCTGCAGCAGCATTCGTACCCAGTACCAGTGGTCAGTCACATTCTAGTCTCCCTCAAGGGGGGGGGCAGATCTTTGCTAAGCTTGACCTGGCTCAGTCCTATCAACAATTGCCAGTTGATGAGTGACTCACAGGGGGGCATTCAAGGTAAAAAGATTGCAATTTGGAGTAAACATGGCCCCTAGCATCTTCCAGAGTGTAATGGAGCGAACGCTCCAAAATATCCCTGGCCTTTGCCCGTACTTTGATGATGTCCTCATAGCTGGGGACTCAGCTGACAATTTAGCCGAAAGGCTGAGAGACATTTTGCTACGTTTCCGCCAAGTGGGGCTGAAGCTTAAGCAAGACAAGTGCAAGATCGGGGTTACCTCCACGGAGTTTCTAGGATTCCACATTGATGCTCAGGGCATCCACCCTACTGAATCCAAGCTGCAAGCAATTCAGCAGGCCCGAAGTCCCAAATCCAACGGCGAACTTCAGGCCTTTCTGGGACTGCTAAATTTTTACCACTCATTCCTTCCTCACAAAGCTGCAATGGCTGAGCCGTTACACCGGCTCTTGGACAAACAGGCCCCTTGGCAGTGGACACAAGCACATGAAAAGAGCTTCAAAGAGGTCAGGGCCTTGGTCTCTCCAAATGTGGTCCTCGTGCACTTCAATGAGAACTTGCCAATGTGCACCGCCTGTGATGCGTCCCCTTATGGGATTGGGGTTGTGTTAAGTCACTTGAAGGCTGATGGAACGCAAGTCCCAATAACATACTACTCTAGAACCCTATCATCAGCTGAACACAATTATGCACAGATAGATAGGGAAGCCTTAGCCATAGTGGCTGGCATAAAGAAGTTCCATGACTTCGTATAAGGCCGCCACTTCATGGTCTTTACAGACCATAAGCCACTGCTGGGGTTGTTCACAATGAATAAACAAATCCCACACATAATATCCCCACAAATGCTGAGGTGGTCTATCTTCCTGTCTGCATATGACCATACACTGGTTCACAAGCCAGGCAAAGAAATGGGTCATGCAAATGGTCTCAGCAGGTTGCCATTACAGCAGATAGAGGCAGATCCAGCACCTGCCAACCACATCCTGTTTATTCAGGACTTGCCTGAATCTCCCCTCAGTGCTAGGGAGATGGCTGCAGAAACAGCCACCAATCACACGCTAACACGTGTGCTGACCTGGGCATTGTCTGGATGGCCTGACACATGTCCAGGCTCAGAATTCCAGAGCTTCTGGCAGAGGAAGCACAAGATTTCCACCTTCAAGGGGTGTGTCCTATGGGGTAGCCGGGTAGTAATCCCAACCTCATTGAGGACTAGAGTCCTGCAGTCTCTGCATGAGGGACATCCGGGAATAATCCGGATGAAGGCGTTAGCGCGCAGCCATCTTTGGTGGCCTGGGCTTGGCAAAGACGTTGAGGCCCAGGTCCACGGGTGCACTGTTTGTCAACAATCAATGCCAGAGATGCCTCAGGCCCCAGTTCATAGGTGGGAGGAGACTCATACCCCATGGTCGAGAGTCCATATTGACTATGCTGGGCCCTTTCAGGGGCAATTCTTCTTAATTCTTGTGAACAGCCATTCCAAGTGGCTAGAGGTCATGCCTATCTCCTCCACTACCACTGCTAGGACCATCCAGGTGCTGAGAGGGATCTTCGCCACACAGGGACTTCCAGATGTCCTTGTCTCTGACAACGGGCCCCAATTCACGTTGTTTGAGTTCAAGGCATTCCTCCAGGCCAACATGATCTGGCATGGCATGCCACATCTGCACCATTCCATCCAGCTTCTAACGGCCAGCTGAATGAATGGTGCGCACAACAAAGGATGCCTTAAAGAGGATCACTCACAGGACCTGGCATCACAAGCTAGCGGACTTTCTTCTGTGCCATCGCACCACACCTTGCATAGCTACTAGAAAGAGCCCAGCTGAACTCCGCTGGGGTCACCGCCTCATCACGAAACTGGACAGATTGCACCCAGACTGGGTGGCTTCACAGGTGTCACAGCCGCGGGCACCTAGGAGACTACAACTGGACGATCCAGTCTGGGCAAGGAACTATGGACCAGGACATCTCTGGGTCACAGCAGTGGTATGCAAGGTCTCTGGGCCGCTGTCATACGAAGTGGCCTTGGACGATGGTCGTGTGATCCGATGTCACATTGACCAACTGCGCTGGAGGCTTCCCAGCAACTCTTCCGCTCCTGGCTCGGCTCCCAGGGGGGGGAGGAGGATCACAATTATGATTGGGGACCACGGTCTCTCCAACATCCCCAGGCTTCAGCTATTGCTCCAAACAGGGAGTCCGCAGAAAGGGGGTTCGCCATGGAGGCAGCTCCGGCCTCTGGCACTCAGGCCACTCCAGCTCTGGCCTAGGGCTCAAGGGACAGTGCTCCCAAGAGGAATCCACTGTGGACTTGGGGAATTCCACCCCACCATTGGATTTGGGAATTCCACCCCCCCAGGAACCCTGGCTTGGATTTAGCAGATCCAGCCAGTCAGCAGCTGGGTGGGTCCCCTGGGTCTTTTGGGCAACAAAGTCGTGGTCTGCCTAGCCTGGCAGGTGAGCTGGCAGGCCAGGCACACACACCAGCCATGAGAAGATCAGGGCAGGCCAGAGGTCCTCCCAAATACTTATAAGACTATGTACTTGTCAGTTCATGGGCAGGCCTAGTAGTCTGGGTTAAGTAATGCAGCTCAAGGGGAATGGAAGCATGGAGGTAGCAAGACTGTAGTGTTGTGTATATATAGATGCAACATAAGCAATGTAATGGAGTGTTGGAGTATTTAAAATAATAAGTGTGTCTTATTATTTTAGCCAAGGGAGGAGGGGTGTTATGTTCTGGACCAGTAGGCACAGGCTGCTGTGATTGGCCCAGGTACACGCACGGCGGGAAAAGATCCTTTGCAATGATTGGCCAGCAAGGTATTGTGCAGGGGGGCTATAAAAGGGGGCCACACCATTTTAAAATCTGTTCTGTTGGTGTTTGCAATAAAGGAGAACCGTTGGAACTCGTTGCTTCATCTCAATGCCTCTTTTCCTGAAACAGAACATATATATTCTTCAAGGGAGGACAACCTTGTATACTATGCAGCACTACCTCCTTTTTCTGTGATACAGAACCTTCACCAGATGGCATATTTGTAAAAAAAATGAAACAATAATCAAAATCTATATATTAAACATTTTAGAAACAACTTAAGCAAAGCAAATTCACCAATCTAATGACATCATCATACCACTGTCTCAATTTCTATTATCTGTGGAGGATGAAAATATATTTTCAAAAAACCAATTCTACTACTTGCAAAAAATTACTCACTTCAACTACATCAAATTTTTAACTTATAGAAAATACGTCTCTTATACATTATTATGATTACAGTCACAGATGAAAGAATATTTTAGGGCTATGGCTATAAGAATTACATTAAGTTTGGTTTCAGGACCAATTATTGTACAAGCATCAAAAGTCCATCGTCATATTCCTTTGGGTAAAAGTAACTTCAACCTGCTTAGGACTGTGTAGATACATTTGGAAATTTGAGAAAGTGCAATAGGGCCTGTCACAAAATTGGTACAATACAAAAAAACTACTATCATAAGTCACAAAAATCATACATTTAAATCTTATTCCTTATCACTTGTACGTAAATCGGGGTCTTTATCCAAACTATTTTTGGTACATTTTACTGGTACTGGAAAAGAAAGTCATTTTGATGTCAGAATAAATAATAATTACTATCTTCTATCTGACTCAAAGCTCAGATATGCCTTTTCAGTCTTCTCATTCTAATTATAATTTAAATAACCTTTCTTTTCTACAGTGATGGGTTTCAGCCAATTCGCACCACTTCGGCAGAACTAGTAATTTTTTGTTGCCCAGGCCCAGAATGGACTTCCAGAAGCGGCATTCACACAGAGAACTGATTGTTCACATATTTGAATCCCACCACTGACTACTCAATACAGTATTTTAGTGCTACTTCTCATTTAATTCACTGACAAAATAACAGCATGCATATAAGAAGAGAAAAACATACCCAGGACACGAATTTGCATCACTGCTCCATGTAAACCAAAGAACATCCATAATGGTTGGGAACAATCCACACATACTTGCATGCCTGCACTTGCTCCATTGTGACTCAAGTGCAGTTCTCCTTCTGAATTCACCATGAATCCCAAGATGTCTCCACTCTGGAGAGGCACAAGCACTCTACAGACTGCCCAAAACTCTTTTCGATCAACTAAAGACTCTGGGTTATAAGGAAGGTCACTGGGTCTCAGGGTGCTAGGATCACAAGTGGTTACCCCATATGACAGTGTCCCAGTACGCGAAGTGTTGGATTTATTGATTTTGACAAATATTGTCTCATTGATTCTAAGTGGTCTGCTGGTAAAAACCAAAGTTCTCTCATCTCGAGCATGGTCCAGACGGGCCACAGTCTGGTCATCCAGAATTTTAATGTGGGCTCCCCTGAGTTGATGGAAGCGGAGGTCGCTTTCAAGTTGAGATGGGAGGAGGTGGGAATGCTGAGAGTTGAGGGAATTTTGTGGAATAGGACACATGGCAGTCATGACATGGAAATTGTCCTCCTGCAAGTTGAGATCACAAAGGCTCACAGATAGACGGGTATCCTCAGTATCTCTGCGCAATGAGGGTCGGCGGATAGCTGTGAAGGATCTTGGACGGAGGCAATCAGGAGGAATAATTTCACTATCTGCAAATAAGAGGTGAAGAAAGTATTTCAGTTTTGTTATTAGTTGTTCAAAAAGGAATGCAATATCTTGCTTTCTTTTAATGCCACAACGCATAAAATAATCTCTTGTAAACATTTCGGTCACTCTTCTGAATAAACTCTCAAACAGTAAATTGCTGAAATAGGAGGCAACACTGGGAAAAAATAATAGGGTCTTATGTGACACCTCTAAGAAGATTGCTGCAAAGTCCTGAAAGTGATGCTTTGAATTTGTTTCACTGATAGGGTGGCAAGAATATTTGAGTACACAGTTGGATTTAAAAAATATTTTAAGAAAAGGAGGAGCTGTCTTAACCCCAATAGCATAGAAAATGTGGGCTCAGGTCATATTTTACTTGGTTTATTTATGACATTTATCACCCCTTCAACCCATTTATTTATTTATTCAACTTATATGCTGCCCATCTCTTACTGCCTATAATAATTAAAAACAATTAAAATATTAAAACACTAAATAGTGACATTAAATTAGTTAAAACTGACAAAAATGAAAAGGAGCAATTTCAATCCATTGATTCCCACCATTTATAGATAATACAAATAAAACATTTATAATAAATATGTTAAATTAATAAAAAAACTTTCATGGTATAAATCATTCTTTCATCCAATCAATGAATCCTTAAAGCCTTCTGGAAGATTCAGTTCTTATAAAGGAATTTAGAGGTAATCTTGGAGAAGATATAAGAGAGTTGATAAGGAAGGAACACGCCATTATGTCAGAACCTGGACAAGGGATTAAATAGTTCAAAGATACAAGGGAGCATGAAAAAAAATGTAAACTAACATTTCTTGATTTTGTTCAGTATAAGATGGACAGAGAGAAACTTTCAAGATGCTGCTACTATACCCTACAATAAATGTTCAAGATGCTGCCATTATACCCTACAACAATAAAGTAACATTCCTGTAATCCCTGTAGTGTCCGTTTTTTGACCTGGTCTACTTTAAAGGGCTGTCAGGTCTTTAGCAACTTTAGGCAATCTTTTCTGTGTCTGACCTGTTTCCCCTCCTTCCCTCTCACAGAGTGGAAAGATTGGAGTGGAAGGCATTACAAGAGAGTAAGCAGGCAGACAATGGGGAATTCACATCTAAAGAAATGCACTGGCTCTGGCTTTTACCTAACGTGCCGGGGGCCACGAGCCATTTAGGTAAACAGCCAGGATTTATTTTGATGTGTATGCCTGCTTATTCTCTTGTATGTCCTTATTCTCCAATGAATGTAAATACAAATATTAATTCCCTTCTTACTAATTATCCCAGAACCAGGGTGAGCATTCCGGGGGAGGGGAAGGAAATCTGAAGTAAAATCAACAGTCACAGTCATGTGATTTTCTACTTAGCAACTGCATCCCTTAGCAATTGAGTTGAGGGTGATCAATTGTGGTGGCTTAATTGAGGAGTACCTATATATTTGCTTTGTATTTTCCCTGCACAAAGTTCCTTGTTATATACACTAAGCACAGAAAACCACAAAGGTGTCCTATTGTTATTGGAATACTGTAGCATGAAGCACAAAGCTGATCATGTGGGATCAGTAAATCCTTCTGAAACTCCTATGAGAATTCTATTATTGTATATCTGTATTCAAAAGTTTCCAAAATGGCTGCTGTAACTGGATATTGCATTAGCAGCAATATTAAAGGAACGTCCTTGACTATTCTTTGACATTATCTAGCTGATATTAATCGAAAAGAGCACAGGAAATTGAAGTAAACTTTTAGCAAGACAAATATTCGATTCTGAGGCTCATTTCCTGCTTTTCTTTATAGCAAAGCAAACCTTTTTTTAATGTTTTTTAATAGTCAAGAGGTCCATTTAAATAAAGTAAGAGCAGGATATTATAAAAAAAAAATAAGATTTCTCCAATAATTCTTTATCAGAAATCAAGCAAAGTACAGCTGTATTTAATTGCACCTTAAAGTACTGTACTGATGTTGTGGTTTGCTTTAAGACTAAGATTAAACTTACGGATTTTGTGTTAGTTTGACATGGCTGGCTGGCATGTTGAAAAACACTCAGAAAATTGAAATAATATCACTCATGAGAACAAATATTCAGTTCTAGTATATAACTTTTGTCATACTTTAAAAAAATCAACAGCTTTTTACTAGACAATGGTTTTGGAGTTGATAGCAATAACATTTACATCTCAGAAGGCACAGCAATTTTTTCAGCCTCTGTTTATTTGATTGATTGTTTATCTGAGGCATAAAACATGTATTATTTTGCTAAAATATAGCAGAAAACAGGACCATTTTTTACACAATGGTTTTGCTAACACTGATTTTAGCAAAGTACTGCAAAGCAGTGACACATACTGTATATGAAGTATATATCAGGGCTTGCCCATCTCTGTTTCTCTAAAGAATGCAGTTCTTTAGATTTGGCATGATGAAATGTTCAATGATTTCTAGAGCAAAAGGATATAAGAAAATATTTTCTGTTTTACTTTCTGTCCCTAGGTTTATGCCCGTGTGTCTGTGTATGCGCATGGGCATGCATATTTAATCTTACCTTTTGTTACTGAAATAGGAAGTAAAAAAAATAACACAAAAACTCTCTACTTTAGGAATGTTCTAGAAGATGGAGAATATTTTGGATTTAGTGGACCTACATATCTGTTGGATTCATGTTGAGATACAGGTTGCAAATTTTGTATCAAAATACCAGATTGTACTTCAAAGATGGTTGTATCCTAAGAAGATATACAATCAAATTTTCTATTCAGTGCATAGCAAAATAATGCATACAACCTGGCTACATAATTAGTTTTCCTCATCAATAGATGTATTTGTTCAGAGTTCTTTTGAAACTATTGGGATAGTTTAGAATGGAATCAGTGGAGCTAAGAGAATATAAATTTATCTCTGTCTGAGTGAATCAGGTACCTTGCAAGATTTTTATAAGTTTTTCTACTGCTAAAATTAGGACCACAAAATATATCCCAAGTGACTTCTGATAGGAAGGATATCAGTTGTGGTACTGTCTTTTATAAAGTCTTCAATTACAGCCCTTCTGTGTTCACACTTACGTTTTGTTAAGGCTATACGTATAGTCTGATACAGACATTAAGGATTAGCTGCCACCCAATGTTTTACAATTCACTTTTACATATCTTAAATTTATATACCCATGTCTCAAATATGACAGATTTAGTTAGAACTTGCTTTTACTATATTTTTCATGACCAAAGTGAAAATTCCATTTTAGAATTGTTTAGAAATCTGAATTGTTTTCTAATCCACAACTTTATCATCAACAGATAATCAAGTACATGGTCTGGACTGAATATTATTCCAAGATATACTAGTTTTCTATCTGAGGAATGTTTTAAAAACTCTGAGCAAAGAGTTATCCAAAATATTATATATTTTCATATTTCAGTGTCTTGTCACCTTATCACAATAAATTCTATGGTGATAACTGTAGTTTCTATGGTGTATACTTGTTTGCCAGAAGTGAGCAGTAAACAAATATGATTCAGATAAATAAGAAATACAGAAATACATAATTACTTAAATAGATATGCTTGGTGCTGTAGATCACAAGAACTATATGATGATTGTTTGGAATATATTTTCTAAGACAAATAACCAGTGGTGGGATTCAGTCAGTTCGCACCACTTTGGCAAAACTGGTAGCTAATTTTTTGTTGCCCAGGTCCAGAATGAACTTCCGGAAGCAGCATCCACACAGAGAACCGGTTGTTCACGTATCTGAATCCCACCACTGCAAATAACTGTATAGCTGTACACTAATACTATATACCTCAGCTATAAGATATGTAAGCTGTTCTGACCATCTTTAATTGTACTAAAATGTCACCAGAGGATATTCAATGCCACTTCAGAGAATGCAGCATAATTCAGAATTTTTAGTTTGCAACCAAATTCAGCCTGTAGGGAATGCTCAGAGTTTTCATGCTTCCTTCATGCCACTTCATCAATTTGGCTCTATTTCAGGTATGGAAAAACTAGTTTGCACATGTGCTTAAATGCATTTCTTCAAGGCCCATTTGAGACTTTCAAAACTATTTACGAGCAGAAAGATATGATCAGATGTTTAACATACATGGATAGGAGCCAAACATGCTTAAACCAAAGCAACTTAAATAAGTCTATGATATGAATTATTGCCTATTCTTTAGTTAGTTATTTACAGTTTAATAATGCTCTTGTTTAAACTGTATTCCAAGTAAAAAAAGAAAAACCTTGGATAATCTTACTTTTTAAATGTAAAATTAAGAATTCCTTGAATTTGAAACAGATGCAAAGTAAATAGCTGAAATACTAGCTCTAATTTGATATCTAATTTAATTTAAATTTAAATTTTACAGTCTAGTGAAAACTAGAATGGGACCAAGGAAAGCCATGTATAGGTATTTTTATGCCAGAAGATATTCTGAAGAATTCAAATATTGATGAATTCATGTAGTGACCTGAAGTAACCTCCCCATCACAAGACCCATCACAAGCCTCTCTCTGATGACTCACACCTGACCATCACAAGACGCTCACTTGAAACACCCACAGCTGAAGCCCTTATAAACAGAAGAGCACTGACACAGACTTCCCCTAAATGCCGCTGAAGATGTTACCTAGCTTGTTAACAAAACGTTCAGAAATCAACTCACAAGCTCAGAAAACAAAACTTCACCCTCATTCATGTAGTATGTTGGTTGATATTTTTTTTAAAAAAAATATCCCTCTATAAGAACAGAAAAAGAAAAAAGAAAAAATATATCACACCATAAGCAAAACACAAAGTGGGAAAAATTAGAATATCTTCCCCCTTCTCCATTTTTATATGCATAATATATAAGACAACAAGGCTGTTATTAGGTTGAATTAACTCTTGTAGGTTTATATTTAATCACTGCCAAATATCAAAATTAAATTCCAGTATATATGTTTGAAGTAGATTCCACATTTGTGGTTAAAACTTCCTTGGCCTATTGA